AATTTACTAAATTATTCACAAATTGCAGACCATATGTTCACTTCATGAGTCTGTCAGCATCATCTTTGCCACTTTTGCAAGCACCATCATTTACCATTAGTACAAAAAGGGATATCACTTTGACAACCCAGAGTTTGAATAGTTTGATGTGTCTTAATGATCACTGCCCACCAAGCTTGTTCTTTTTGCAAACTTCAGTCATGATGATGCCGAGTGGGGAGCAGCACAAAACCAGTGGATTTTTTGACTTGTTTCTAAAATGTATTTTTTTTTTTTTGAGTTGGAGTCTCACTCTGTTGCCCAGAATGGAGTTCAGTGGCCGCTCCCAGCCACTGCAGCCTCTACCTGCTGGGCTCCGGCGATCCTTCCGCCTCAGCCTTCCGAGTAGTTGGAACTACAGGCGCATGCTACCACACCCGGCTAATTTTTTTGATCATTGTAGAGATGAGGTCTCGCCAAGTTGCCCAGGCTGGTCTCAAACCCGCGGGCTCAAGCAATCCACTCACCTCAGCCTCCCAAGGCACGGGATTACAGACTGAGCCACCGAGCCCGGCTTCTAAAATGAATTTTAGAGTGGCTAGCAAAGTTTTAAAACAAAGTGTATTAGAGAAAGAAGAGAGAAAAGAAAGGGAGAGATGCCAAAGCTGACAAGGGCAAAAGAAACCACACTTTTGCTCTTTACAGTAGAACTGATATCCCTTCACAATGATTGATATGCTAAAGAGGGTAGAGCCCAGGTAACCACCACTCTGGAGATTGACATCTCTGAGCTCCTGATGGGAGAAGAGAAGGGGAGGAGAGGTCTTTTTCTGACCACATTGCCCTTTGCAAGAGACCTATCAGATATTCCCAATTCACAGATTTCTGACCTAAAAGGTAGTTTGGCGATCATTTCTATGGCTTTGGTCAGTTAAGGGATGGTATTCCACAGGCAACCTAGAAATTTCTGAGTGATTACTATGCTAAACCATGAACTGAAATGTTGGGCTGTCCTAGTCCTAAGACATCTGATGGAGTTTTCTTTTTATTTGCTGAAGGGGTGGGATAGGTTGCAGCTTGGTCTGCAGTAAAATGTAGTTTAAAAAATGTCTGAATGCTTCCTAAAACCTACTTTTGGGAAATTTATCTGTCTATATCTAAGCTGTGCTAGCTACCCTGCCTCAATATAACCAAACTACACACTAAAAATTGTCTTTGTGAAGCTAATCTGTGATGTTGCATGCTTTCATGAGTTCAAAAAGCTGGCAGAAAAAGAGTCAAAGTGCACTCCCAGTTTTGCAAAACCAACTTCCCCACTCATAGTATTTCTCAGTACTATTGTTAATTTACATAAATCTTTTAAAAATCTAAAGTATTTATATATACTTATAATATATATATACACTATTAGTATACATATATACTAATTTAGATAATTTAGGTACATCTTAACCCCTAAATTCTCAGGGATGTAAAGGTCTGAGCCATAGATCCCAACAGAGTCTCTCCAAAGCAACTTTGAATGTACACAAAACAGTAAATGTGATTTTGAAACACACGGAATTTTCAGAATGGCATGTTTGAAAGAAAAATTTTATTTTGAGTGCTTTTTGCAAAATGCAAATACATATCAGTTTTTTTGTATTCAAATTGTTATTATCAGTAGTATAACTGCCAGGTTTTATTTTATTTTATTTTTTAATGCAGGGGCTTTGGAGAAGGAAATGGCCTGAGACTGTGTTTTATGGGGTGTCCTTACTAGAGACAATTAGGACACTATTACTTTCCAGATGGAAAATAACGATCCAAGGGCTTTCAAGTCCATTAGAGAAATTATACTTCCAGTCCAAAAAAGCAATCATGTTATCAGCTCACAGCACTGGACAGTCTTCATGTTCTATGAGATGCCTTCAAAATGTCATTGTTACACGAGGTCATTTATCACATGATTTTAAAAAAATTTTGTATCAACATGTGTGATTGTTTTTTTAGGTTCTACAAAGAATAAAATGATTGAAACCCCTTTTGTATATCTGTATCGCCCATAGGAATGACACACTTTGCAAATAGTAAGACGAATATTGTGTCTTAATTTGCTATTCATGTGATTATGACCTTTTGCTTCATTAGGTGGTTTAAATCACTCATTAGATGATGCATTTATGTTTGCTATCACACAAAGATAATGTGAAAACATAGGGAAATAGGTAATTCACAGTTTCTATTTTTCGTTGTTAACATTCTATCCCCATGCACAAAGGTTAACTCCAAATGGATCAGAGACCTAAATGTAAAACCTCAAACCATAAGAACCTTAGAAAATGAAGGAAATACCCTCAAGGAAATCGGAACTGGCATCCAATTCCTGAACAAAATCCGAAACCCACAGGTCATAAGAGAGAAGATAGACAAGTGGGACCTTATTAAACTGACAAGTTTCTGCAAGGTCAAAGAAACCATCAAGAGAGCAGGGAGACAGCCTACAGACTGGGAAAAAATATTTGTCAACACCAGGTCTGACGAAGGCTTTACATCCTGGATCTACAAGGAACTAAAACATGCTGAAAAGAAAAAAACAAACAACCCCATTACCAAATGGGCAAAAGATATGAACAGACACTTCACAAAAGAGGACATCCGAGCAGCCAACAGACACATGAAGAAATGTTCAACCTCACTAATCATCAGGGAGATGCAAATCAAAACCACACTGAGATACCACCTAACTCCAGTCAGAATGGCAATTATCAACTCAAAAAATAACAGCTGCTGGAGAGGGTATGGTGAAAAGGGAACACTTCTACACTGTTGGTGGAAGTGTAAACCAGTGCAACCTTTGTGGAAAGCAGTGTGACGATTCCTAAAAGCTCTAAATATCAACCTCCCATATGACCCCGCAATCCCCCTACTGGGAATATACCCTGAAGAACTCAAATCACTCTATAAAAAAGATACCTGCACACGTATGTCTATCGCAGCAGTGTTCACAATAGCAAGAACCTGGAAACAACCATGCTGCCCATCAAAAGAGGACTGGATTAAAAAAATGTGGTACATATACATGATGGAATACTACGCAGCCATAAAAAAGAACAAAATCATGAATTTTTCAGCAACCTGGATGGAACTAGAGTCTATAATACTGAGTGACTTCTCACAGAAACAAAAATCCGAGTATCACATGTTCTCATTCATATAATGGACCTTGAACATCCAATGTAATACTATAAGAAAATGACTGATGGTACTGGGAAACTATGGGGGGGGAAGGGGATGGGATTAACGGTAGCAAATATCTGTCTGGGGAAGGGGAAACACCTCTTATCAACAGGATGCCTGAATGAAACATAATTGTACACCTAACCCTTAACTGTACCCCACAAAACCATAATAAAAAATATTTATTAAAAAAAAAAGATTGGAACTAAAATGGTTCAGTCTTAACAATTGGACTTACTTGATTTGAGAAAGATTGTCAACCCAAGTGTCAAAATTAAAACAATACAGCTACTTAGAGAAATCAGAAGAAAACATACTTAACTATCTTGGGTTTATCAAAGACTTTTTGATCAAGTCTCAAAATTGCTATCCATAAAATAATTGATCTTATACTTTTAAAACTTCTGTTGATTAAAGATATATTTATACAGATAAATAGATAAACTTAGATTCGAGGGAAAAAATTGCAATATATCTACAGACAAATTTTTTTCTTTTCTTTTTTTATTTGAGCTGGAGTCTCACTCTGTCACCCTGACTGGAGTGCGGTGGCCGCTCCCGGCCACTGCAGCCTCGGCCGGCTGGTCTCCAGCAATCCTTCTGCCTCAGCCTTCCAAGTAGCTGGAACTACAGGCGCGTGCTACCACGCCCGGCTCATTTTGATTTATTGTAGAGATGAGGTCTTGCCAAGTTGCCCAGGCAGGTCTCGAACCTGTGGGCTCAGGCAATCCACTCACCTCAGCCTCCCAAAGGCGCGGAATTACAGGCTAAGCCACCGAGCCCGGCTAACAGACAAATTTTATACGGATATGCTAAGAACTCCTGCAACTCAAGAATAAAGATGGACTAAATTAAAAATGGGCAAAAGAGTTGAACAAACTCTTCATGAAGAAAGGTGTATAAGTAGCTCAAAAGCACGTGAAAAAAGTGATTCAATAAAATTAACCATCAAGAGAATTCGTGTTTAAACTACAATGAAATACCTCTATATATCTTCCAGAATAATTAAAATTACCAAGTAATACAACACCAAATGTTAGGAAAATTGCCGATCAGTTGAAACTCTGTTATACTGCTGATGAAAATTAGTTGGCAGTTTCTTTCTAAAACATAGTCTATGAATTAACATTGTATCTAGATGTTTACGCAAGAGGACTTGCATACATGTATAAATATACACACGTGCCTTTGCATTTTGAAACAATCAACTATTGCTGTCTGTGTTTTTCTCTGTATAATAGTTCCCCCTAATTTGTGGTTTCTCATTCCGTGGTTTCTGTCACCTGTAGTCAGCTGTGGTCCAAAAATGTTATACGGACAATTTCAGAAAAACAAAACAAAATAATTCATAATTTTCTAATTGCATGCCATTCTGAGTAGTGTGTTGAAACTTCAGCCACCCCGCTCTATCCCTTACATGATGTGAACCATTTCTTTGTCCAGCAAATCTTGGCTAAGTAATCCACCCACCCTCTAGTCACGGTTGTGATATCAGGAAAACCTACTGTATACGAGGTCTGTACTATCCACAGTTTCAGACATCCACTGGGGTTTCACATGATGTATGACCCAAAATAAAGAGGGGTTACTGTCTGTTATTACACCTCAATTGTAATATGTCTCAAGTATGTTATACCTTTATTATAATCAGTATCATGGGAAAACTCTTTGAAGAATTACAAACAAACAAACAAAAAGAATAAATACCTTCATGCAGTCCATTATTTTTCTGCTCTTGTACTTGTGGCTAGATCAGAAACAAATTAGCCTGAGGGAGAGTTCTCTCACATCTCTAGACAGGATCAATCTTCTGGGGCAGGAGGAAGAGTTTCTGTAAAAGGAGAAAAAAGCAGCAGATAGTGATGTGCCTTTGTGGTTCCTGATTTCCTTTGGCAACTTTCTGCATTTTGAGAGGCCAGCAAGTGCCTGGGGTTTTGTTAGCGCTCCCCTGCTGGTCTCTCTGGCAGCATGCAGTCTCATCCAGTCTTCCCAATGTGCCGCAAAGATGCTATTATGTTCTCCAGGTGAAGGGCTAGAGAATCTGTAGGTAACATTTCTTTATTCAATCAGACATTCCAATTATCCAGTCATATGGTGGTTTGCCCAGGTTACTAGGTGCTTGTTGGGGTTCTAAACTGAATATTCTCCAGTGTCCGATGCGGTCTTGTTTTGTCTAAGCTGGGATCTGGCAACCAAAGGGAGTTGTGAGGGGTCTTTGATATCATACCAGGCCTGCTGATGGCCAGAAACATTTATACCCATCTTTTGTCTTAGCATTCGGGATGTTGGAAGACTCAAGGCAGTGCCCGGGTTCTCTAGCTTCCTGGGGAGGTGATGGCAAGTCTTAACAGTCTTTAAAAATACATAATTTAAAATGAAAAAAGCAAGTAATTAAAGTCTATCATTGAAGAATACTGTAAAATTCTTAACAAGTTTGGTAAGATCATAAGCCTAGGAAAGCCTTGAGTTGCTTTCAAGAAAGCCTAGCTCTTTGATTAAGCTGGATACACTAAGTTTGTAATCAGTTAATAATAATATGAACATGCCGCTGGGCTCGGTGGCTCAGCCTGTAATCCCGCGCCTTTGGGAAGCTGAGGTGAGAGAATTGCCTGAGCCCGCGGGTTCGAGACCCACCTGGGCAGCGAGACCTCATCTCTACAATAAATCAAAAAATCAGCCGCGCATGGTAGCGCATGCCTGTAATTCCGGCTACTCGGAAGGCTGAGGCGGAAGGATCGTCAGAGCCCAGCAGGTGGAGGCTGCGGTGGCCGGGAGTGGCCACTGCACTCCAGTCTGGGCGACAGAGTGAGACTCCAACTCAAAATAAATAAATAAATAATATGAACATGTTTATATCTTTAAGTGTGGATGAAGAAGACCTTCTCAACAATTAAGTAGAAAGAACATACCCTCTGTGCTTGGTGAGGTATGTATTTGGGCCATTTTCAAAGCTATATATGGTTTCTGAGGGCAAAGCCTGACAATTCTAAGTTACCAAAGTGAAAACTAGCTTAAGATCCTGGCAAAGGAATAATTTATAACCTAAGAACATATTAGAGGATGCGTTGAGTGAAAATCTTGGTTTTTTGAAAAATGTAAAATTTATTTTAAAATAATTTGAAAGATGGAAAGAAAGAGAGGGAGAGATCTGAATAAAATGTTTCAAAATTCTAATGAATACAGATGAAAATCATAAAGGATGGATTTGGTTCTAGTGTCTGACAGAAACATTACTAATTTAGATGAGTTAACAAAGGAGGTGGAAATCTTACATATAAAGAGTGAATTAAAAAAGGCTATATTGTTCATTAGCCAAAGTCATTTTTGAGAAAGTCATTTATGCTTTTAAGGAAAATACTTTCTTCTAAAAGGAGAAAGCATAGAAACAAACTAGAGCACACACAGTAAAGAAAATCCAATAAACAAATGTCTTAGAACTCAAACAAAAAGTCTCCTACAGGAACAAGAATCTGTTCATTTACCAAATGCTCACCCAGCAAGTGAAATCCAAAAGCTTCCATGGAAACATGAAAACTTAAAATACTGAGAACATACACATCATGTATGGCTTCATCAATTAGCATTTGGAAGAAACATTTGGAAATAAATAAAAGCAGCAACCAGGTCCCTCTGGGGACCTCACAGAAGAGATGAAAAGGATCGAGTCAAGATTAGAAAGGAACACTCTGATTTTACCAAAGTCATCTTATCTCCCGTGAGGAAAAAAGTTTGAGATAAGTAATTAGCAGCTCTGTCCAAAAAGAGAAATCTCAGTCCCCTGGAGGGAGTGGGGAGGTGGGGGGGAAGGGAGGCACAAAGAAACACCAGTTAACCAGAACTGAATTTAAATGAGAGTTTTTTTTTTTTTTTTGAGTTGGAGTCACACTCTGTTACCCAGACTGGAGTGCAGTGGCCACTCCTGGCCACCGCAGCCTCGACCTGCTGGGCTCCGGCAATCCCTCTGCCTCAGCCTTCTAAGTAGCCGGAATTACAGGCATGCGCTACCACGCCCGGCAAATTTTTTGATTTATTGTAGAGATGAGGTCTTGCTGCCCAGGCGGGTCTCGAACCCACAGGCTCAGGCCATCCACTCACCTCAGCCTCCCAAAGGCGCGGGATTACAGGTTGAGCCACCGAGCCCGGCTAAATGAAAGCTTTTTATCAGATGGTCCTCATGCCCCTGCTGTTCCCAGTGCAGCTCTGGGAGAGTCTTCAGAGGACCAGGTGATCCACTGATGACCAGATCCCAGAGAAAGAAAAGTGCTGATTAGCAATTGATAAAATTACCGATAAAACTTGTTTGTTGCTGTCTGTTCTGCCAAAGTACCATCCTTTATATATATAAAAAAATTATGTTTAGGCACACTATCTTGTGCTCTTTCTGCAGTAAGGGGGAAGCAGGGAAAAACTAACATCTTAAGAGTAAGCTTTAGTGTGTACATTTTACAAAATCTAAAGATTTGGGGTTCTTACACTCCCACCTCTGGATTTATCCAGTTTTAGCAAATTAAAAGGAGCAGATAGTTAGGGGTCAATGTAATTGCGGTTATTTGTGAAGAAAAGGGCATATTTACCGCATTTACACTGTGCTTCAGGACTCCTGGAATAAGGGAGTTGTACAGGTCAGGTCATGCCTTCTAAGAATTACTCCTTCTTAGATGAGGCATTCTGAGTGCTGATATGATTGATCCAAGACCCATGCTATGCCTGGTACACAGAGCAGGCCTGGACAGCAAGGTGATGTGTGAACAATTTTATGGTGGATGTCATATTAGGATTATTTTATATGTTCGCTACTGAAACTCAACCATTACAGATTAAAAGCAAACATCCAAAACCTACAACAAAAATTGAAAATTTGATTTACATGAAAACTTCAAAATAATTGACTTCTAGTATATATCTTAAGTCAGACACTCAGTTGATGCCCTAAGGAATTTGCCTTCTTGTTTCCAAATCTCCCCCCTCTCTCTTTCTCTCTCTTTCCCTCTCTCCCTTCCTCTTTCTCTCTCACACACATATACATACACACACACACAAATATGGCTATTGACAGTTCTGCGCTTTCATTCTACTGTTTATCAAATCATACTGACTCTACACATACAGATGTAAAGAAGAATTTCCTATCCCCAACCACGGTGATTGCTTCAGAAATGGGCATGTAATTGAACACATGCAATAAGAACCCTCTACAGAGATTTCACGGGAACCATTAGGGAACTAGTCCTGTCTCTTGGAGGACCCTTAATTACATGTGCTTATTCTCATACCCATTTCTGACACTATCTCTGTGGTTAGGGATGGAAAATCATTGATTATCAAGTCAACTTCAAAGAATGTGTCATATGAAAGGAGAGCAGTCAAATTATGGTTCCTTGAAGAAAAATATGAAATATAGTTACTAGAAAAATGGAGACAGGATAGACAGGGGACAACAGTATGAGTGGATGGTTGGGTAAGAAGAGGAGATGGAGGTGAGTGTAGGGTAACTCAAAAAAGTGTCCAGACAACTAGGTGGAATAGAAAATTTACAAAATGGAGTCACAGTGCTCACCTAATGTCCTGTAAAAATCTGGATTTTCACCTTAGTAAACTATGCAGTTGGGAATTCTGTCTTTTGGCAAAGTAATCAGGACATTGATCCACTCACTTGTAAAAAAGGACAGAATATATAAAAACATGGTTTTTAAGACATTAGCTATCAGGCCATGTGGAATCGTGATTCCGGAGAGATGGGAGACTAGCCAGGTGAATTCTGTAGTTGCCCCAGTTCATTGCCTGAAGTGTTTTGCGTACACTGCAAAGAGAGGGGGCCCAGGTGAAGCCTGATCAACTCCTGGAGCTGGTGCCACGTATCATGGATTTTGCAGAGACCAAGGTAGCTAGATTTGGAAGCAGAGTTAACCAATGGGAGAAGGCTGCACAGAGAGAAACTCTTGAGGTGCTCAGAAGGTCCACGTCAACTACTCAAAAGAGTGCTGATTGACACATACACATGAGGAAATTACCCAAGGCTAGGGGAAGAGCCATTTAAAGGATCAGAGGAATGTGTACTCAGAGCTAACTCAGGGATGAGGATAGTGGAAAGATCACTGAAATATTTATAGTCCCTCCAAAGCATAAGGCTTTCTTATGAATGACAAGTGATGATATTTCTTCCAACCAGAACTGAAGGTAAAGACACTCCAGTTTCCAGCCTTCCAGACCCAGGCCCATAGCAAGGTCCCTGTAACCAATCAGTTGGGTTCAGATATTTCTCACACTGGATGTTGTGACTGTGAGGCACGAGTCCACACTCTGCTCACATATTTTAGCACAAAGCATAAAAACAAGCAAGCACATAAATAAAATTGATAGGTGCATTGGGGATTAGTCCCTGCATCTGGTGAGACAGTCATCTAGTCATTTGGCCCTGCACATACTAGGAAATGTCAAAGTAGTGATGGTGACATCCACTTACTTGGTGAACACCCATGTGCAGGATGTGCCAGATGGTCTGCTAAGTGTTTTATGGACGTGATATTGTGTACTTCTTTTTATACAGATCAGCAAAATACACAAAGTTGCATAACACTTTTTTATCAATAAGGCAGGAAAGTGAGGATTTGAAATTGTGCCGGTATCAGGCTATATTCTTTTTGTTAAAAAATATATATATATGGAAACGCAGCAGCTCAATGGACTACAGAGAGCAGCCACAATGTATATGAGTATCCAGAGTTTGTTCAGGGAACAGGCCACTATGCCTAGGGTCCCAGTGCTCACAGTTAGATGGAGAAAATGCAGGTTATGTGCAAAGAAACTGTCACATCATCTTCTCCCTTTCAC